TTTGCATCTTTACGTGGTATTTTTTAATCTTGCAGTTGTTTTAGATCTTTTTATGGGATTTTACATAATTTTTTTGTGCTCATTTTGTGTCTTTGTTGTAATTTTACGTCTTTTGTTCTGATTTTTCATCATTATTTGGTTATTTTGCATGTTTTTCTGGTGATTTTGAATCTTGTGTGGTGATTTTCTGTCCCTGTAAGATGATTTCACATTTCCTTGTGGTGATTTTACATTTATTTGTAGTGATTTAGGGTTTGGGTTCTTAAATAAGGATCTTTTTATGGGATTTTACATCAGTTTTGTGGTGGTTTTTCCATTTTTATGGTGATTTTGCATCTTTATGTCATATTTTGCTTCTGTATTTGGTGATTTTCCATCTTCTCGTGGTGATTTTTTTGGTCATTTTCTAGTTATTCTCCCTCTTCTTGTAGTAATTTGGTCATTTTGCATCTTTGTGTGTCTCTTTTTGGTGGTTTTGCGTCCCTGTCTGGTGACTTTCTGTCCTTATCAGGTGGTTTTAATTCTTTTTCTGGTTATTTCTGACTGAGACTCTGAGCTCTCGGTGTCCTGAGTCACATTTTGTGAGTCTGTGTGTGTTTGCTGTGTTTGCTGTGGGTGAAGTGTGCAGATAGTTGTGGCGCCTCGCTGGTGTGTTGTGAGGAAGAACAACAACATGGCGTCCTCGTCTTCGTCGCTGCAGCTCCAGGAGCTGCTGAACTCTCGTGAATATTTGTGTCCGTTTCCTGAAACGTTCTCGTATTTGAGGGAAGTACATGTCGGTTCATCGAGCCGGAAACGTCGGACCAGATGTTCCCCTCAAAACAGAAACCATGAGCTCGCTCCAGTTCACTGAGCTGCTCTCCTTCCCTTCTCTCCTTCACTTCTCTCCTTCCCTTCGCTCCTTCCCTTCGCTCCTTCTTCTCTCCTTCCCTTCTCTCCTTCTCTTCTCTCCTTCCCTTCTCTCCTTCCCTTCTCTCCTTCCCTTCTCTCCTTCTCTTCTCTCCTTCCCTTCGCTCCTTC